CACAAGGATTCCCACCCGCTCCCTAACATCCCTTCTGGGCACGAAGTCACTGACTCCCAGGTGGGAGCAAAGAGGTTTGATCCCAGGAGCCATGCCACCAAACAATTGCAGCTTGAGGCACAGGCCCACTCCATGGTCTGGCTCTCATTTTCTAAGACCAGGGTGCTCTTAGTGAAAAGCACCAGGACCCTTTGGAAGTACAGGGCAGAAGCAGGTCCTGACCCACTCAGGAGGGGCAATACTTTAAAGGGGCACAGCCGTGCATGATGCCAGCCCTGGACCAGTCTTCCCTTTGCCCTATGACTGGCCCTCCCAGGAATCCTCTCTTACCCAGGCACTCTCCTCCTGAAAAAAGTCTGTTTTCTACCCCAGAGTAGCAAAGGGTGATGTAACCACAACAACATCATGCTCAGATGACACAGGGGTGACAACAGTCACTTTGAGTATGGGGTAGCCAGCAGGGGGCCAATTAATGCTGCAGACGGAGAAGCTGGCACTGGATGCCGGTGGCATCGAGCCCAAAGCTCTCCTGCTCTGTTTTCAAGGCTCATGATGATCTGGCCATATCCAACAAATCCTACCCAGTCCTTCCCATAACTCACAGTTAAACGCAAGGGCTCAGGGACCTGTTGGCTAGGTATAGGGCCCTTCGCTAACCCTTACTGTGCCTCACCTTCCCTGTCTATGAAATGAGAACAAACCCAGGGTCCAGAGCAGAGGCTGTGTAAGGGCTGATGGGGTTAATCACTGTTAAGGATACAGTACCTGGCTCCTAATGAGCTCTCTACAAATGCCTACAGTAACTTCCCTTATGATTTTAATACCCACCACTCCTACTCAGGTACCCATCGTTTCTACCTTGTTTCTGCCTCTACCCTGAAGTAGAATACCTGCCAGACTGTGTCAGAGAAAATCAGTCTGAAGAGGTTTTACATACCACCTGGTTCAAGTACCTTGTTTGACTGGAAGACAGACCAGCACAAGTTGGAACTGGCACAAAGCTTCAGGTGGTTTGGGGAGCTTGGCTCTTGGGGCTCAAACCCCTGTTTCACAATCAGAGACTGGCTTTCAGCACTCTGCCCTTATCATGTCTTTCTCCATACTGCAGCACACCCAATGTTACAGAATCTTCTAACTGTCCCCCATTGTCCATTCTCTCCTCCTTCTGACTAACAGAATCCTCTAGCTTTTAGCTGGATATAAGGCCACCCAGCTAGAAATAGTGCTTCTCAGATCCCCTTGCAAGTGGTTGGTGTCAGGTGATCAAATTCTGGCCAATGAGCTGTGACTGGAAATAAGTACAATTCTGTGTCAAAAGGGAGCACTTGCCCCACTCTACTCTGAATTTCTTTCTATCCCCCCTTCCTGGGCTCTGAAACACTGCTGGGGTGTGAGTAGCTTTCTCGATGCACATGGAGATATCTGTGTGGACAACCCAAGGCAGGCCACTCATCTCCTTGACTGCCAACCAGCTCAGATGGTTTGGGGAGAGAAAAATCAATCTCATAACCTTTTAAAGCCATTGTTATTTCACTTCCATTAAAGCAGTCAACCAATATCCTAACTAGAACTTGCCATTAGCACTAAAGAACATGGATTCTTTTCATGGGGCCCCTCTGTAGGGCGTGATGAGTGGGCACACACACACTCATGATGGATTGCATCAAGCAGAGAAATCTTATCACCCTCCAGCCTGAACGTCAACTCATAGAAAGGACATAAAGGATATTCGGTCATAGAAACCTTTGTATCTATGAAGAACGCTTGTGTAAGGGGCAGGTTTTCTATGATCCAGCAGACCGGGTAAAGGAGGAGTCAGACTCCTCAGTGGTTTTTGCAGGTATTTTATTGGGATTTACCCGGTAGACAGCAGGCAAGGGTGCTGGGGGGCTGAGGGGCTGGCAGGCCTCCCAGCCCCCAGCAGATCTTCACTCTAACTGGCCTCTCCAGCCTTCTCTCAGCTTCTGCTTCTCTTACTTCTCTCTCGGCTTCTCTTTTGGCTTCTGCTGGTGTCCCCGTGATGCCGCCCTTAAAAAGCCCAGGTGAATCCCATCTACCTATGCCCACACCCTACTCCAGGTGCCCGCCATCAGGCATGCATTCAGGACCGCAAGGACCCATCATCTATCCTGATGGCAGGAGGGCAGAAAAGCCTGACATTTTTCCTTACCCTACAGTCCACCCCCTCAGGGTTTCTGCCATACAGTGTATATATATATATATATATACACACACACACACAATTTTCTTAGCAAGCATAAACAATGCAGCCATGGCCCACAAAAGCAAATACATCACAATATAACAAAATACAACAGAACACAAATAAGTCCAGGCAGGGCCCCAACCTAGAGGCAAAAGACAATTATTGGTACCAGCAGATGAGCCACCAAATCTGCTGCCGAAGGCACTGCTCATATGAGGGAGGGGAATCACTCATGGCATCTACTGTAACACGCCAGGAGCCGTCAGACTTCCTGACCTTCTCTGACTGTAGTCTCAGCTACAAGCCACACACAGCATCCACCCCCAGGATGCACTCACTCCTGGATTGGGGATTCTCTACTCTTTGGGGGTAATCGCCCAACCCTCAGGGTTTCTGTCTACGATCACTCCAACACTCGGCTGTCATAGCCACCAATGCAACACGTAGACCCCTGCACTCAGGCCAACCCATTGCACAAGCACATGGGTCGGGGATCCAAACTCTACATGCGGCCTCTCTTGGGTCCCGTCTTCAGCTTGGGCTCCACCCCAAGCCACGTTCCCCACCCGTCCCCCAAGGATGGGTTCCTCAGCTCCTCACCCTCACTCGACAACGTGCAGGGCATCACCCACAGGTGATTTTACGAGACTCACAGGTCTTCAGTATACTTAGGCTGCTTAACAGCCGCTCAAGCCTTCCCAAACTTAGCATCAGCACCAGCCTTTGCCTTCTCAGTTGGCTTTTCTCCTCTGCCTGGCTGCTGGGCATCCACAGGCTGCTTTTGGCCATCAAGGCCCACTGGCCACCCCCAGATTCTCAAAAAAAAAAAAACATAACCTGTCAAGGTCCTCCGCCTTCTGGCGGGATTGACAGTCCAAGTCCATTAGGCCAAGTTCGTTGGCCTCTCCCTGAATCAGCACTGGCGAGCTCCGAATCATGGTCCTCTTCGCCGATGATTCTTGCTGCCTCAGGGGTCGTTGTCTGGTCCTTTCGGGCAACTCCTTCATGCCAGGTCTTGTCCTGTAGCTCCTGGACCTTGTCCATCTCCTGTGCCGCCATGATGCCTCCAGTGTTGTCACAGGCAAACAGTCTGTTATTCCTTAGTCCCTCCAGGTCTTCGGAGGGCTCCATACTCGTCTGCAAGGATCATCCTGCCAACTATGCCAATTGTAAGGGGCAGGAAGGAACACTGAGCAGGTTTTCTATGATCCAGCAGACCGGGTAAAGGAGGAGTCAGACTTCTCAGTGGTTTTTGCAGGTCTTTTATTGGGATTTACCCGGTACACAGCAGGCAAGGGTGCTGGGGCCTCCCAGCCCCCAGCAGGTCTTCACTCTAACTGGGCTCTCCGGCCTTCTCTCAGCTTCTGCTTCTCTTACTTCTCTCTCGGCTTCTCTTTTGGCTTCTGCTGGTGTCCCCGAGATGACGCCCTTAAAAAGCCCAGTCTTAGCCCAGGTGAATCCCATCTACCTATGCCCACACCCTATTCCAGGTGCCCGCCATCAGGCAAGCATTCAGGACTGCAAGGATCCATCATCTATCCTGATGGCGGAAGGGCAGAAAAGCCTGACATTTTTCCTTACCCTACAGCTTGGTTGCAGTTAACAGAAAGCCCTAGCTAATGCAAAGGGATCTGGGACTCATAAATACTCTTATGTAACAAATCCTAGTGTTAGGAACAGCTGCTCCAAGTTTAGTGAGGTAACTCAGCAAGTCAAAGGAATCACTGGGAAGCCAAAATGTTTCTATCTTGGGCTCCCTGCCATCCTCCATGTCTGTCCTGTTTCTAGGATGGGCTTCCCTAAGGATGACAAGTTGGAGGCCATACTCCCAGGTATTACAGTCACCCTGACAATATGTAGAGGCAGAAGGGACAATCCTGCTCACATCTACTCAAGAGCAAGGAGACCTTTTCCAGAAACCTTCCAGCAGACTCTAATGCCCAACTGCCAGAACTGTGACATGTGCCAACACCAAACCAGGCACTGGCGGGGCGTGGACTACATTGACTGGGTAAAACCAATCAGGAATCTCCTCCAGGAGACCCAGTCAGGGCAGGAGCAAGGGGTCTGAACAGAGAGTTCTGTTGGGAACGAGGCAGCGACAGCCCACAACTAGAGAAGATCTGACAACACTCGCAATTATTCTACAAAATTATTCTCAAACCTAGTCATCTGATGACAGGACCAGCACTTTTCAGATCTAGCAATCAAAGCACATAGAGTCTTAATTATATGTTTAAAAAATATCAGGGCTGGTGTGCTCAAGTATAATCTGGCAGTGACAAGGGGTAGAGCAGCATCCTTCAGCCTCCTGATGACACGTTCCACCAAGACTTTCTTCCATGCTTTACATGTTTTTAAATATGCAGCATGAATTATTTAGCTACCATTTCTTTCTAAAAAGGATTTGAGGCAGATAATCTACAGCTTTAGTATTTTTAAATCCCTAAGATATTAACATTTTTCTCTTCATTTGTGAACTGCATATTTCTACACTCTCTCCTTGGAGGCTCTTCCCAGCTCCACAAAGGACAAACCTGTCAAGGCAGCTGATCATTTTTCAGGACCAGAACAGACTGAAATAATGGATTCATCAAGTCAGGATTTTCACTTTTACATCCTCTTTACTTATTTTTCTGACATTTTGGGAGAAGTCTGTTCCAGCCAACTTTGCTGCTTTGCTATTTCTTAAGATTTAGAAGTAGCTACTGGCACTCTTATTTTAGAATGTCAAGAGCAACTATAAGTACCTCAACAAGAAAAGGAGAACATGTAGTTGGCATGATTTACTCACCACAAAGCCACTTTAAAAATATAGCTGAATCTTGTTATTTTGCAAGCAAACTTGTCAATTAAGTATCCTAAAATATCAAGGAAAACCCAAAATGATTAAATAGGAAGGAAATACAAGTGGTGTGCAATAAAAGTTAGAATGGTAAAAGTCAAAATTTTAAAGCAAAAAAAAAAAAAAAATACACAAAGGGAGGGGGCTTAAAAGGTCCTGAGAATTACAGCTTCACAATATGAATCTGGCACTTGACAGTATAGGAATGCTTCCTGAAACCTGCATTTTGTATATTAATGATTCTGTACAGGAGATTTTGTTCTGGATGGGTACATGGATGGGAGCACTCATGCACACTAGATATCAAAGGTGTTTTTCAGGCTGGGAGCACATCACCCATTAAGCTTGACACAACCCTTGATCACTGCCAGCCCATTCCATGACTCTAGGATACTAGGTTTTGGGCAAATTATAATCAATGACAATGCTGGAGGGTAGGAACTTCATCCTCTTAAAATATCTTTTAACAAACTGATGGGTGGTTCAGTGGGTGGCTGAAAGCATGCCTGTCAGTACAGGATGAGTCTTCCTGCCCATGGAGGTGGTTAAGTGTGAGCAGTCACCTGATGGGGATGCCATGGGGCCCCTCTATGTGCTGATACCCAAGGATTGTGGTTCAGATTCCAAAACAAGATCTGAAAACTAATTTGTTTTCTTTTTTGCTCCTTTGCACTGGTAGAGAGATAGTAGAACCAAAACAAGCTAAGGGCAGTGTCACATAGAATCATAGACATTTTGTTTGGGAAAGGATCTGAAGTGCTTTCTAACTCCTTTCCAGTAAAGTAGGGAACAACACTGTTACAACCTCCAAAGCTTGGGTTCAGCTTAGGTTAAAATCATGATAAAACACAAGCCTCAAAGTCAATGGTACTCATCATATACAATGGTGAAAAGTTGAGACCTTTTCCTCTAAGCTCAGGAAAAAGATGAAAATACCCCTTCTTTGTGCACTTACTGTATTAGAAGTCTTAGCCAGAACAATTAATCAAGATAAAGAAATAAAAGCCATTCAAGAAAGGAAGAAGTAAAACTGTCTCTTTTTGTAGATGACATGGTAATCTATATAGGAAATATACATAGGAAGACTCCAACAAAAGCCCTGTTAGAACTAATAAATGAATTCAGTAAAGATGCAGGATACAAAATCAACATACAAAAATCAGTTACATTTCTACACATTAATAATAAACTATTAGAGAAATGTAAAAGACATTCCATTTACAACTGCATCAAAAGAATAAAATATCTAGGAATACATTTAACCAAGAAAGTGAAATATCTGTACCCTAAAACTGTAAGACATCAATGAAAAAAATGTAAGACAGGGCCTCCCCGGTGGCGCAGCGGTTGAGCGCTGGGTTGCGAAGCTGCCTGTGGCCTCTGCAGTGCCAGTTCGATCCCTGGCTGCTCCCCGGCCACCAGAGGAGGGTACCACATGGCGCGCAGACCTCTCCTGCCGCCCGCTGCTCCCCTCAGAAGTGTACTTCGGTCCTTCTGCCTGCTCTGCTCCCCGCTCTGGCTCTGGTGAATTCTCTCACCCTCCCGCGCTTCTGACTGTACCCAGTGCATGTATAAACAAAACAAACAAACAAATAAATAAATAAATAAAACATGCCTCTATTAAAAAAAAAAAAAAGTAAGACAAATACGCAGAAAGATATTCCACACCTATTAGAAGAATGAATATTGTCAAGTTGGCCTTATTACCAAAGTGACCTACAGGTTCAGTGGCATCTCTATCAAAATCCCAATGGCATTTTTCCACAGAAATTGAAAAAAAATCCTAAAATTTCTATGGAGTCACAAAAGATTCCCAAAGGCCAAAGCAATTTTAAGAAAAAACTAAGCTGGAAGCATTTTGTTTCCTGATTCCAAACTACATTACAAAGCTATACTAATCCAAAAATGTATGCTATTGCAAAAAAAAAAAAAAAAACAACAAAACAGACACATAGATCAATAGAAGAGTGTAAAAATAAATCCACACACATACGGTCAATTAATTTACAACACAGATGCCAAAAATATACAATGTGGGAGGGGGGAGAATAATCTCTTCAATAAATGGTGTTGGGAAAATTGGATATCAACATGAAACAATGAAAACTGGATCACTACCTCACACCATAACATAAAAATCAATTCAAAATGAATTAAAGTAGAGAAAAGTAAGAAATCACAAATCTCCTTAGGAAAACATGTGTTAGCTCCTTGATGTTGGTCTTGGTAATAATTCTTTGGGTTTGACACTAAAAACAAAGACAATAAAAGCAAAAATCAACAAGTGAGACTGTATCAAAACAGCTTATGCATAGCAAAAGAAATGACAAAATGAAAAGGCCACTAACTGAATGGGAGAAAGTATTTATAAATCACACATTTCTACATTTTGGATTAGGAGTTACTACGCAAAATATACAAATTATTTACACAACTCAATAGTAAAAAACTAATGATTCAATTTTGAAAATGGGCAGAGGAACTAAAAGGTGTTTTCCCAAGAAGACATACAAATGGTGAACAGGATATGAAAAGACTTACACCATTGCAATTTGGTAGTTTGTTAAAGCAGTTTAATGCTAATCCTAACTAATACTTACCATTTATAAAAAGCAAAGCCAGGATCCTTATTTACACAATAGTTTCCACAGGCATAAGTTACATGAATGTATATTCTGTACTATTATCACATCTGTCTATTAACTGTCTATTTTGCTTATTCTGTACTATTATCACAAAACTTTGCCCTGTCTACTAAATAGGGCAAAGAACTAGTATATAATACCTGAGTTTTAAGAGTCATTTTCCAAGGTCTGTTGCATCAGGAGCTGGGCACATGTGCACATGCGGCAGAACATTGCAGTGGTAGGATTGTTGCAAATAACAAACTGTACTAGATAATAGTGCTGTGAGCTCTGCTGGCTCTGCTCACCAACTTTGTGACAACTAATCACAGATCAGTGATCTGGCATCTGAGGCAATTAGGATAGTGATCTATGCTTCCTGTCCTCAAGTTAAGAATATACCCTCCTTTTGGTATGTCAATCATTGTTACAGATTAGTTGAAAAAACAATACAAACTCTTGTTCTTCCCATAAGGACAGTCTTCATAATGTTCCTAACAGGTAGTCATCAGAACACTGGCCCTTCAGTGGTTTCCCAAAATGCTCTTAGACTGACAGCCAAATCCTGCCCACAGTCCCACTGTCAGTACAGTCTTACCTCAAGCCCCTGCACTCTAGCCCCTCAGCCACTCTGGCCATCTCTCAGGCTCCCTAGGGCCTGTGTCCATGCGTATTCTCTGACAACCCAACCAGGAAGTGGGTCAGCTGAGCAGATGTATGAGGTCTCAGTCCACAAGGAGCACCAACCTCCCCACAGTTTGCACCTGATATGAAGCAAACTGTGCCCCTGTTTGGAGCAGAGGAAGGATGTGGGGGCCCATAGGCACGTTGGAGTCAGGATACAAAGTCATAAAACTGTCTTCTCAAGAACAGTCTGGCGAGCCCAGGCAGGTAGGGAGGTTTGGAGGCAAGGAGGAAATGCCTGGGGGCACAGAGCAAGAGAATATGTGACTGTAGTGCATGTCCACAAACTTGTGTAACATCTCCCATCAAGAGGAGTTACCTGAGTTGACTCTGGGACAGCCTGGCTAAGCAGAATGGGAAAGAAACAATGATGTGTGACATCCAAGGCCAGGTGAGAAAAGTCCACACAGATTCTACTGAATTCATTCTCTCCTGGGTCACTAGCTTTGGAACCCTAAAGTCACTATGCCAGAAGCACCACATGAGAGACTACCTCCAAACCACAATGCCCAGGAAGCCCAAACTGCTTAACTCATCTGAATTAAGGCATCAGGCATATGGGTAAGGAATCCTCTGGACAACTCAGGATCAGCTATAGCCTGAATAACCTCAAGTGTGGAAGGCCTCTGTGAGAAATGTTGCCTGTTGTGGGCCATCTGCAGAACACTGGAATAACTGTAAAATGACAGTAGTTTAAAGCCACCAACTTTGGGGATGATTGTCATGCAGCAATAGTAACCTCCAGAAGGCTATTAACTGTCAGTCTTGTGCCCCCCAGTGCCAAGAACAGTGCCTGGCCAGAACAAGATGCTCAATGAATATTTGCTGGAGTCAGATACATAAACTATCACTAAGTCTGATGTCATGGACCCTGCCTATATATATTTTTAGGACTTTTATGATTTCAGGTTTCACTTTCAATTCTTTAATTCATTTTGGTTGATGACATACGGGCCCAGTTTCAGTCTTCAGTCTTCCCAACACCATGTATCAAAGAAACTGTCCTTTCATCTTTATATATTTATACTCTTTTGTTATAGATTAACTGACCACATATGTACAGGTTTATTTATGGGCTCTGTTCTGTTTCATTAATCTGTTTGTTTTCATGTCAATACCATACTGATTGATTACTATAGTTTTGCAACACAGTTTGAAATTAAAAGCTGTGATGAGACCTAAATAAGGGACCAGGAAAAATACTAATTATTATAAAGTAAAAATCAAAATCAACAAGAAACTATAAACCAGAGACACACACAGGGGGAGGGAAGTGAGGGAGAAAAGGGAGTAGGATCAAAACAAGGGGGTGGTGGGAATTGTATGGGGACTATAACAACCAAGATGAAAATGCATACATTGTGCAAAAATGAAAAATGATGTAAAAAATATATAAAATTAAAAAAAAATTTTAAAAGGCTGTGATACTTCTAGCTTTGATCTTTTTTCTCAAGAATTTTTTTCAGCGTCTGTGAAAAATGCCTTTGATTAAATCTGTAGGTTGCTTAGGGTAGTATGGGCAATTTAACATTAATTCTTCCAATTCACGAGTACAGAATGTTCTACTTACCTGTGTCTTCTTACATTTTTTCATCAATATCTGTAGTTTTCAGTGTATAGATCTTTTCACTTCCTTGGTTAAATTTTTCCTAATAAATTTATTCTGTAAATTTTACTCTTTCAATAAAATTGTTAATGGAATTATTTTCTTAATTTTTCTGCTAGTTCATTATTGGTGTATACATAGAAACACAGCAGATTTTTGTGTATTGATCATGTTGTATGAATTTGCTGTGTGAATGAATGAACACAGGACAGGCTCACTACAGCTACAGCAGACCATCTGCTCTGCCTTTCCCATGGGTGCATTCCCTCTCCTCCATCCCTCTACCTTTCCCAACTACTGGCTCCTGATCAGCCATTGGATCCCAGGTCAAAGATCACTTTCTCAGGGAAGCTGCCCTTGAACTCCTCTGTCTAGATAAACATCCTGCTTGACACTCAAGTCAGCCAATATTTCCCCTTCACGACACTGTGCAAGACTATTATTACATAAGCAAAGAACCATGCTGCAATTCCTAGCTGGGCTTGACCGGAGCCACCTGGCAGCATGAACAGTGTCTGTTCACAAGTGTATCTGCAGTGCTGGACAAAGTCTGGCACAGAGCTGGCTGATAGCATGTCAGAAAATTTCTGGAGACTGGCAACACATAGCTCAGCTGTTTTTATTCACATCACTTCTTTTTAAATTAGTAGAAAAGGTTTAGTTTGATTTTTGTTGGTGTTTCAACTAGGACATACAGAAGAAGAAAATTATATTACCAATTTATATCAAAACACTTAAAAAATTTTGAAGTAACATTGCTTTATAACATTATATGGGTTTCAGGTGTGTATCACTAAAGATCACATCTGTATACACTATGTTAAGTTCAGCACTAAAAGTCCAATTCTAGGGCCTCCCCGGTGGCGCAGCGGTTGAGCGCTGGGTTGCAAAGCTGCCCGCAGCCTCTGCGGCACCGGTTCGATCCCCGGCTGCTCCCCGGCCACCAGAGGAGGGTCCCACATGGCGCGCAGACCTCTCCTGCCGCCCGCTGCTCCCCTCAGCAGTGTACTTCGGTCCTTCTGCCTGCTCTGCTCCCCGCTCTGGCTCTGGTGAATTCTCTCACCCTCCCGCTCTTCTGACTGTACCCAGTGCTTGTATAAACAAACAAACAAATAAATAAATAAAACATGCCTCTATTAAAAAAAATCTAAAAAAAAAAAAAAGTCCAATTCTATTCTTCATCACACAGTTATCCCCTATGTCCCAATTTACCTACTCCCCTTTTTCCCTCCCTTCTGGTAACCACTAATTGGTCTTATAGTCTAAAAGCTTATTTTTCTTTCATTTAGTTCATCTGTTTGTTTTCTCTCTATGTAAGTGAAATCACATGATGTTGGCATTTCTCCATCTGGCTTAGGTCAATCCATCCTGTTATAAATGATAGGCGTTCATCTTTTTTATTCCTGAATAGTATTCCAGTGTATGTATATACCAAATCTGCTTTATACATTTGTCTGTCAATGGGTGTTTAGTTTATTTCCAGTCTTGGCTATTGTAAATAATACTGCAATAAAAATGGGGGTACATATATCTCTTCAAATTAGTGCTTCTGTATTTTTCTGGAAATACCCACAAGTAAGATAACTGGATTACATGAAATTTCTATTTTTTATCCTTTGAGGACCTCCATACTGTTTTCCATAATAGCTGTACCAATTTATATTCCCACCAAGAGTAAGTTTATTACAAAATATTTTATTTTGGGATGTGATTATCAATGGAAATGTTTTTCCTGGTTTCTCTTCCTAATAGTTTATTCTTTGTTTATAGAAATATAACAGAATTTTTGTGTATTAATTTTGTAACCTGTCACTTTATTGTCTTTGGGATTCTTTGGGATTCTTATGTATTTTATCAGGTTATCTGAAAATAATAATAGTTTTACTCTTGACATATTCCCTTGAGGTCTCAAGTTGCATTACATTATATTTTTTTGTTTGCCCATGGTGCAATTTTAAATTTGCTTTTTCAAAAATCTGGTTCAGCTACTAAGAGAGCTAAGTTACTTTACTTTTCCAGCAAGCAGTTGTCATTGTGGATGTATTGGATTTCATTTTCATTTTTTGACCTATGCTGGCTTCTGTAGGTACTGAGGCCTATATCTGTAGTTGCTATGTCAAGTGGGTGGGGGATGGGCATGGATGGGTCCAACTTAACTGTCATGAATGTGCTGGATGGGGAGGGAGCCTGGTTCACATCTGTGGCACCACTGATATCCTTCCTCCCTAAGTCCCAGACTAAGACTTGGCAGTCTGTCCACTGTCAGTGCACTTCAGGAAGTCAGTATTAGATCTGAGTGAGAGATGGAGGACAGAGTATAGTTCTAGAGTGCCTTTCCTGCTGTTCCCCTCGCCAGGGTCCCAGCCTGTGTGGAGCACCCCAGCTTCACCTCCATCAAAGGTATGGGTCTGCACACCATTTGTACCCTCTCCTTGCAGAGCCCAGGGCGGGGACGACAGTCCTGCCATTTGTGTTTCTAACCCTTCAGGGATCACAGACTCCAGACATTTTTCTCTACCCACCTTCTATCCAATAAAATGTGAATCTCCTCAGCGTTCCCTCAGGCATAGTCTGTGCAGATCTCTGAAATATAAGCAGTTCTTCAGTTTCACCCTGAGTCACGGGAGCCTGTCCTGTCAGTTAACTGTTGTTCCTCTTGGGAGTGAAGCAAGAAACCTCCTGCATCATCTGCTTGGTGAGGGCTTCTACTCACAACACTTCTGACACCAAGTGTATGGGTTTTCTTTTTGGCCTTATGCCAATGGATTTTCCAGCTCTCCCCAAGCTGTCTAACCATCCCACAGTTAATTCAATTCTGACACTGACTGCCTGAAGTTAGTGTCAGACTCCACAAGTTGAAGAGCTCAGTCTCAAAGATTGTCCCCGCTTCACATGCCTGATGCCAGTGTTGGGTCCCAGGTCACCCAATTCTTGGCTACAAAGTCAAGGAAGAGGTTCCTACAACCCACCCCTTTCAGGTTTAATAATTTGCTATGACAACTTGCAAAACTCTGGAAAACACTTTACTGTTAGTGTAGATTAGTAAAAAGATAAAACTTAAGAATAGTCCAATGGAAGAAGTGCTCACCCATAGGAGTGGCTGAGAAATCAGGAAATTAGTTTGTGCATACAATGGATGCTGATTCAGACTCAAAGAAAAAGTGTTCCTAGGTGTGGTTGTGGACAGAATTCGGGAGAGACAGCCAGGTTAAAAACAGTGGAGAGAGAGTGTGTGCCAAGTACCAGCCTAGTAAATACAGTACATCCTCACCAGGGAAAAATACATCTGCATCTCTTGACATATATATGCAAATTTTAAGAAAACTTACAAACTTACAGAAAAGGTTAGGAAGGAAACAGCCCCCAAAGGAATAGTGGTTATCTCTTTAGTGGACTTTTCAATATCTTCTCATATATGCTTTGTTTTGACAATGTGTTGTGTACAAATAACAAAAAAATTAGTCATGACAGAAAATGTTATATTAAGTTTAAAAAAAAGGAAGTTATAACACAGCATGCCTATTTTTATCAATTATGTTATAAAGTGTATATACCACCAAACTGAACTGAGCGGTTTGAAATGGGGTGGGATGCATGGTTTGAAATGGGGCTTTTTATATATACTTTCCAGAATTTTGAATCTATTGCTAGTTTTTTAAAAAATGAATAAAAGTGGGGGGGAGTGTCCTAGAAGATTTGTTTTTTCATTTGCAGTTTTCTGCATTTCCCAGATTGTCTTAAGCAAAAATGTATTACTTTTAAAATCAGGAAAAAAGCTGTTAAATTTATTTAAATTATTTTTAAGCAATGTACTTAAGCAAGAAGTCACAGAGTGGGTACATGATAAATTATAAAGAGATCAGTAGCATTGAAAGAGCACCCAATTTTAAAACTCTCTGCAACATGGAACCTCATGTTTAAGAAGGATAAAAACAAAGTTTACTGGAGAGGTGCATGGCCTGCTTAGCAGAAACCCCTACACACTGCAGAACCCAGGGTTTGGGGAGCACCATTAGGAAATGCATGGTATGACGCTAAGCTCAGAGGCTCTGCACCAGGATGGTCAGAGGGTGCAACAGAAGCATCTTGAGCTTTATGCTCTGGATGGCTGGACCCCACTAGGGTGTGCAAGTATGGGGATCCTAGAGGCACCCCTCAGTCACGTGCTAACAAGAGGGCTCTGGGGAAGAGATGGAAACCTTGTTAAAACTAAAAGGGCAGGAAGGACATCAGTAGACATGGCTGACATGAGGAGGCATTTCAAGGAGGATGAAGGATATATAAGCCTTTATGCCAAGCTCACCCCTCCCCGAACTGTTGACTGATGACACGTTTTACGCCATGATGTATCATTTAAGCAGGGAGAGAGTGATTGGGATCAGACTATATTCCCATAGGAATAGAGAGTCATAGAAGGTTCCTGAACACATGCACAACTAGATGAAGGTGGCATTACAGCAACATCACACTCCCATTTATTCATCCCAACCGGAGCTATATAGCAAAGTACTGATTGGGGAAGCAAGGAAATGGGTATAGACAGTCAGTTAGGAACAGCCCTGAGCCCCAAGTCCATTAATCAGCCTGATTGAGAAATAATTGGTTGGAGCCAGGAGGGTGTCCCCTGCTCTCCCCCACCCCCCTGCCCTCTCCACCCACCAAGCCTAAGTGCCCTAGGTCCATTTATCAGGCTGATTGGAGAGCAATCACAGACCAGGAGGGCGCCCCACCCCCAATCCAGTAAAGAGTGAAATGTTCAAACACCAACACAATAACACAATGCTAAAGCAACAGACCAAAGCCAGTTTCAGGAAGGTAGGTGAGGTAATGTGGGCGAACTCAGTGGGCCTCAATAGCATAGGAGACCCCACAAATTCAGTGGACCCTGGAAGCCTAGGAAACCCCCGTGAGCCCAGACAATCAGCAAGAGACACAACTCAGAGATACCCAACAGCTGAATCCCTACTCCTTGCCTATTATACCCATAGAAACTCCTGTTTTTCAGCCCCTCAGTAGCTACCCATTCTGGACCCCTCTACTCAGAAAACTTTCCTGTCATTCCTCTTATCTATCAAAAAATATCTTGCTTTCCTGTAACTTTTGTCTCAACAAACATTGATGTTTTTTCGTGACAAAGCTAAGAACCAAGAGAAAGCCCACCTGGGGTCCCTGGACTATGGGCCTGCTCCCAAAACCTTGATTCAGTATCAGCAGTGAGATGACAGATATTTGGTGCCCTGATATTTGGGCACTTGTGGCTTGTTTATCCAACTGACTGGTTTTGTCACGGTTGGGCTACATTAGGTCTGAATGTCAGCCCAGGTAGGATATGGGACTTCCTATAATGCTGTTCTTCCTATAATGCTGTTCCACATTCCCAGAGCCAAAGGCTAGAAACCCCAAGTCTCAGCTTATGATACTTCTTTAGCACTGTGATTCAGGCCTTTCACTCCATCAATTACAAGCTGTGGCACCTCAGGCAAGTTACTTAACTTGTCTGAGCTACAATTTCCTTACCTGTAAATGGTGAATCAATTATTCATTCAATAGATAACTGAGCATCTGCCAAGTCCAGTTATGCAAGTTGGGAATTAGGGATGACAAAACTTTCTATCCTCATGAATGTAAAATTACCCTCTTCATAGACAGTGAAAAGGACAACATGAGGTATTTCCTAGGAAGAACTTATGGTAGTAAAGATTCTCCTTTTATTATTATGTTCATTTCCCAAGCCTTTAGCACAAGATGACACCCAATACACACCACAGAACTGGTGGAGTTTCTGGCTATGGATTTAGGTTCCCTGATTTGCAGACGAAAACCTTATATTCAGCTGTGGGCTTAGGCTAGAGTAAAGGTTCCTCTCTCTGCACCCTTCCCCTCCCACAATCAGTTCACCTTAATAAACAGTGCTGGGAGGGAGAATGAAGGAAATTAACCCTCAAGTCACTGATCACAACTCTTCTAAGCCCTGACTCAAGTTCCTTTTCCTGGGAGGGGACCAAGAGCAAAACTGCAGGCAGGTGAGAGCTGATCCCCTCCCAGGCAGAGCCGACCTAAGCCTTATTGAGATGTGAAGCCTGATGGCTGACTGCAAGGCAGTATCTACGGGCCCCACAGAGATGACCCTGACCCTCCAATCAGTCTATAAGCTCATGGCAAGAGGAGCTTAGTGGATTTTAACGTGCTCAGGACGGGTGACAGGCACAACCAGGGCCTATTCTGAGCCGAGTGGCCAGAAGCATTGGTGTAAGTTTGCAAGGAGGAGGAAAAAAATTGTAACCAACTCTTTAAAACCTTATCCTCGGCGCACTCCAAGAAACCAATCCTTAAAAAAAAAAAAAAAAAAAAAAAAAAAAAAAAAAAACCTCGCAGGCACTTTTCTTGGTATGTAATGACAGTTTCGGCTTTCTTCACCAACTACATGCTAGGAGTTTCTGGTGCCAGCCTGTATCTTTATAGACCAAGTAATGCCTGGGCAAAGGACCAGACAAGAATTGGAGACAGAGGGCTGGGGCATGAGAGGTGATGGTGCAAGCAGTGGGGGTCACATCCTACGCAGTCTCCACAGCAAACCCTCCCAGCAGAGTCTGGGACAGCAGCCAGCCCTCAGTTTCTGGCCCACCCTCTTCTCCACAGCCTCGCCTGCTCTCACAGTCCAGACCCTGAGGCCCCTTGGCCTGGGATCTTAGTTTCCTTGTTCACTGCTGTAGCCCCTGGCACTAAGCACAGCAGTATTAAATGAATGACCGCACGATCCCAGCCTGACTCCTGCCCATTCCCCCTGGACCCAGCATGTCCCATCTCATAGCTCATTGTCTGTGGCCATTTCACTTCCCTGGCCCAGATATTTCACAATCTGGTTAACTCCTGTCCTTTAACTCGGCTCAAATGCCACCTCTCCCTGGTGGCCTTCCCTGACCTCAAGGTTGAGTGAGGTCCCCAATATCGGGCAGCCACAGCCTTCCCGTATCCTGGCCTGCCTCACCCAGGGCTGAGTAGGTAGCAGGGGTTGAGGAGAGAAAGAAGGGTACCAAAGGATGATGTGGAGAGAGAAGCACCTGTCACCGGTATGTGCAACTTACAGAACAACAAGGCACTAAAATCCAACAGATAATGGCTCATTCATCAATGTTTACTGAGACTAAATAGCAGGAAGTGGTGGGAAGAAAACTCTCAATGGATTCAAGTGGGAAGCAGAGGTCACTCTTTGCTGGCTTCCCATCCAGATGCAGGCTGGGGTGGGAACTGGGGAGGAAAAGGAACACTGGAAAACTGGGTGAGTGGGGGTTCTTGAAAGGCTCATGGGCTAGAGGCTCCCACAGCCTCCTCTGGCCCTCAGGGACTGAAGGCCTTCTCTCTTTGGGCGGTAGGGGGCTGGTAATCTCCAACGGAGATGATCAACTAGGACTCATTTCCACAAAGCTGTTGAGGATATGCCCTACGTCAAGAAAGAGGATAATGAGGATCCTCCACTGTGCTGCTGTGTTATTTGGCCCAGTTCCCAAAGGAGAGAACAGACACAGAGATTTAAGACAGATAATCTGGGAATACAGACTGTTGTTGCTGGAGACTCCTTAGCAGAGTCTCTCCTTCTAAGACAGACACTCCCAGTTGCCCTTATGTTCATTTTTTCTTTTTTGCTAAGGAGAATCTGATTTTGGAGAGGATGGTGCAGTAGAGATGGCCAGCTAATTAAGAAACCCATCTCCTGTTGCTCCTAGCCACAGGGGAGGGCCACATTTTCCTAGCTTCCCATGTAGGGTGCAAGAGGGCATGGCTATGTGACTAAGCTGTGGCCAATGGAATGCCGGTGCAAGTAATTCACCACCTCTAAGCCTCGCCTGTAAATCTGCTCACACCGTCCTCCACGCCACTTCCACTTCTGCTGATGGATGTAAATGAGCATGGCAGCCTTAGGAGTCTGAATCCCTGGATGACTTCTTGGAGGAATAGCTCCCTGCCAATCAGAAATGGCCATTTTGCATTTTGTGTGAACAGAAGTAAATGTCTATCATATTTGAGCCATTAACCCTATTTGGTTGGTTGGTTTCAGCAGTGAACCCACCTAACTATCTAGGCAGCAACAGATCCTGCTGAATACTCCCACAGCCCCTTCCATTTAGAGTGGTCATGGGATACAGTTCTGGCCTTGAAATGTCAGGGGAAGACTGCTGGTGTTTTGGGGACAACTGTGCTTTCTTGACTAAAGGTACCAGTGTGGCAGGCATCTCCTTCCTGGAGCAGCCATTGTACTACCATGAAGAAAAAAATCAAGAAAATATCAGAAGTAAAAAAAAAAAAAAAAAAAAAAAAAAAGAAAATATCAGAAGTGTCAGTCCAGACACACATCTGCAAAGAAAACCAATGCCAGCAACCACTGGCATTCAGACATCTTGTTACATGAGAAAAATAAACCACAATTTGCTTAAGTCACTAAGTAAACACTTTCTTGCAGCCAAACGCAATCCTAACTGCATTGTGACAACTCATTCATTCATTCATTCATTCACTTGAGCTATTCCATGCCAGTCCTTGTGCTTTGGGCTGAGATGTCCGAGATGAGCTGGGAATGGCTGTGCCCTTCAGGAGCTCCCGGTCTGGCTGGGGAGCCAGGCCCACGGGCAGATGATCCAAATGCAGTGTGAATGGATGTTGTGATGACACACCGTGGCCAGGGGAGGGTAAGCACTGGGCAGTGGGCAGGCACTGTAGCAAGGAAATCCCTGCTCCCTTTCTGGCATTCAGCACACTGAGCAAACGCCTCTCAAGCTAAAGAGCAAGTGAAAGATAAGAATGTTACTCTGCTCAGCCAGACCAACTGCAATTACTTACTGTACGGAGAGTCACTAAACACCATGCATCAGTGCAGTTGTTTTGAGATAATCAGCAGTCATTAGTGCATGATGCACAAAGGAGAGAGGAAAAAATCATATGCTGCTAACTTAGAAATGCTGGAAATTTTGTGAACCAAGAATGAGGGAGGCTTGCTTAGATCTTCCAGCCTACTGGTGTTAACCATCTTGTAAAATATACTTTCTTTCTCAAAAAAGACAGTAATTTTTCACCTTGAAGACAGAGCCAAAAAAAAAAAAAAAGAAAGAAAGAAAAAAAAAAAAGAACCAACCTACCATCCATGCCATGACCTTTGACCATAAATGTCCAAGCTTTGATTTTTCAGGTCTGTGTTTCCATTAGGAGCTGTGCTGGAGACAGACAAATTGGCGACAAAAGATAACCTCGTCTAGGAAATCAAGAGGCAAATAAAACCACAGGAGTTAGAGGCCTTAGGGAAACAGCCGGAAAAGGTATGCCTCCTTTTAACTCAATTCTACCTACATACAAATAATAGTTGGGGAAAAAAAAGAAGGGCATTATTGGTTATTTCTTAATTTCCCAAGCATAGGGCACACATTTAAAACAAAATGAAGCTTGTCAACTTTAAAATTTGGTAGTTTAAAAAGGAACAAAAATAAGCAGGGCCCCCACGAAGAGGACTGATGACAAGGCTTCCATCGGCCCGTTGATTTATTAGTATGAAGTAACCCAGTTAAGAGCAGAGTTGTGCTGATCACCCAACACAGAAGCGCTCCAGTTTCCCAGCAGCAATCACAGGAGGGTTCCCTCATCCTCAGCCATGGCCGAGCCCTGTGCCAGGTCCAGGATGACAGGTGCTAGCTGGGCAGACTGCCATGGGAAGTTTCTTTACAGGACATACAGAGTAGGTGAGGACAAGATCTGAGGAGGAAAGACTTCTCTTTTCAGGACCAGCCATTAAACCCAAGCCCTATCAACACAGTTCCCTAGAGATCTGCAGACTGTAGCTGACATGGAAACCACAATGGCTGGCCTTCTGCCCTGGGCTGGTCCCCCACAGACCCTCAGGGGCTGTGTCGCCATTCCTCACTCAGGGAATTGGGTCTCTCCTGGTACCAAAAATTGGGGTTACAGAACAGCCAATCCAAACAGTAGCCAGGGCAGTATTCTGTCAGTCGGACCAAGAATACTGCCGGCAAACTAGGCATGTAAATAAGAAGTTGATGGTCTTTTGTCACACTTCCTGCCAACAGCCTGTTTGCAAGGGTGGTAAAATGTTAACAAGCAGCATGTGCCAGACATAGACCAATCAATGAGTGCATGTCTTAAATAGCTGGTAAGATCACGTCACACCCGTGTGTACCAGATGAAGATCATGCCAGTGTGTACCAGCCGGAGACCCTGCCCCCATGGCCAACCCCTTACAGGCCATTCCCAAGCCCCTATGAGGCTATGAGGAGGCCTAGAGCCAGCTAAGTACTTGGGCATTCATGTTCTTCACCGTGAACTGCTGTTCCAAGCAGACAGAGGTGATGTGTATCTTAACCATTATCTTCTATCCATCATCTCGATGCAGTTGGTTGGCACCAAAAAACACATTTTTAAAGAATAAACAGTACTAGCAAGTAACATTTTTTTAAGCACATACTATGTGCCCTGTCCTAAGTCCTTGGCACGTCTCATTGCAGCTTCGCAACATAATACCACATAATGTCCACTGCTCATAATATCAATATCATTATCAGCACAACTTTACAAATGAGGAAATTGAGGCACAGAGAAGCTAAGTAACTTGCCCAAGGGTCTAAGACTAGTAACGGTAGATCCAGAAATAAGAGTTGGTCTGGTTGCAAGGTCTACATACACTCTTAACCACTGCAATGTGCTGAACGCACACCCAAACTCAGGCACCCAGTACAAGAAAGTCATCCACAGAGATCCTCTGGCTCCCACAAACCCCGAGAAATTGTTCCAGGAGGTCTGTGGTGGTGTGACGCATACACTGCACTTGTTTGACTTGCCAAACGTGTTAAAGGAAACTGGTACCTGCTTTTACCCCTAAGCCAGAGACCACTTATAATTTTCAAGTAACTGTAACGGTACTTAATTATCAAGCCACTATACCAGGAATATCTAGGTTTTCATAGTATGTCCATGCTAGAGATCTGAATTGTAAGGAAGACTTTAAACCTCCCTGGGTCCTATTTCCCCACCTCTGAGAAGACTCCTGACTTGCTAGAAGGACTGCATGAAATCACAGACATAGTCGCCTATTTTATGATGATACAATACAAATACCATGTATTATCAAAATAATGAATATAATTCAATGAAATGACAGATCAAAATGTCTACACTCATCAGTCTATACTTGTCAAAATTCTATACTTACCTACACTTCTAAGGAAATTCCTATTGATAGCTAGCCACATTTTAGTAACAATGTTTCAAGTTTAATAATTTATTTTTGTAAGACTGTGTCCCTACCTTGTATCCAAGCTCTCAGACATTCCAGCTATATATAACTTTAGTAACTTTATCTTAATCCAACTGCTTCCTTAATGTCTTTATTCTTTTTTTTAAAGATTTATTTATCTATACAAGAACTGGGGTACAGGTCAGATGTGCGAGAAGGTGAGAATTCACAAGAGACAGAGCAAGGAGAATAGGCAGACTGAAGAAATACACTGCTGAGGGGAGCAGCGGGTGAGGCAGAAAAGGTCTGCCGTGCCATGTGGGTTTCTCCCTGGTAAATGTCTTTATTCTAACTTCAGATTTTTCCTATATTAGCAGATAACTAAATTAGCAAGCAAAAGCATTATTTTATTTTATAATTAAAAAGCTCAAACTGATTGATACTGTTGTATTTCTGAAAGTCTAAAGTTTGGTGTTGGATCTAAGAATGAGGTAGTCTAGGACAGTAAGCTGTGGTTTTGTTGGTTGAAAAGACACATGTTTCTGTATAATTGAGGGGTATCACAAATAAAATTCAAACTATTTGTAAAGATGGTGTCACTGACGGCTCCAACCACAAACAGGAGTGGAGAGGGGGAGAGAGAATGTCAAATTTAAGTACGATAAGTTTCATCTTCTCTGTTTTTGAAAGTTCTGGTTTCTGTGAGATTGACTGCAACTCTCTCTAAAGAAATCAGTCACACAGAGAAACAGCACAGAAAGCAGATGACAAAAGATTGCCTTGTAAACAGAAATGTGAATGTGTATGTGGAGGAAGTGACTATGCCAATATACACAGAATTTTCAAAGTTCCTTCAGTTGCTACCACTAGATGTTTGAGTTTGTCAGATGCTCCTTCTCCCCGGAGTCCCAGCACAGAGTGGGGGCTCCGCAGCTGTGTGCAGTACACATGGACAGGGGCTGGGCGGGGGGAGGGGAGAGGAGAGGATGAAGGGAGGCATGGTTGACCCGACTAGGAGAAGACAGGCAAAGGCTGCCTCCTGGCTGCAGAAACAATGTTCCTTAGCCTCCTCCTCAGTTCTCTATTCAAAGACTTTTTAATCATTACGTTCCTCCCTGCTCCTGGGACTGCTGTGCTCTTCACTACAGATTGACCTGTTCCTTCCAAAAGCCAGTGGCTTGCCCAAACAAGGCCCAAGAAGATTCAGAGCAGCCTGCTGGCTCTGGGGTTGGAGGCTGGCATGCTGGAGTCTGCAGCTCAGTGAGGCCAGCCGGCCCTCCTGCCTTTTGGACTCAGTGGCAGACGCTGCCATTCATCCTGGTTCACAGTGCCTCTTTATGCTGCCTTTACCTACCTCCTGGTTGAGGGGCTTCAGCAGGCCCTTGTCCAACTTTCAGGCTGCACAGCAGTCTCAAGAAGGGTCCCTCTGGCTGCTTTCCCCAGGGCTTTGCTTTTGTCAAAGGCTCATGACTCACCAGAAGCAGCTGTTCCCCAGGTGCAGATGTACAGCCCATCACAGCTGCTTCTGCTGTCAGTCCCTGGACACTCCCCTCAGCATTTCAGGGGTGAGGGGGTTTCCCCAGACGGGACCCCAGACCAGTGTCATTTAAGCTGCCATTTCCAAAGGAACACAACCCCCATTCGGGAACTTAAAATGGCTTAGTATTGTCTATCTTGCTAAGACCAGCTCTCAACTGGCTTTCGATTGATAGAAATCAGAACAGTAGATCCAGCAAATCTTATTTTGGTTCCTGTGGGGGGTCATTTTTCCACCTCCATGACTTCACTCCTAACAGTGGCCCCTCTGCCAGAAGGTGGGCACACATGAACCAACAACCCAGTCTGGGGCTAGAACTACTCATCTGAATTTTCAGGACCTTGGATATTCTCCCACCCTACCCCCCCACCCCCCCCCAGAGCAATCTCTCTCTCCCTCCCCTTTGCTCCCCCTCACAAACTGCAGGCATTAATTAAACCTTTTGTAGAAACAGATTTTTACCAGCTGCAGGAACTGGGTAAGAGCCAGACCTGGAGATAGAGACAGTCTGGGTAGGAAAGATAAGCTCCTACAGCTGTGAACCGGTGCGCAATACAAGTCCCACATTCAAATGACATTCTGAATTCCAGCCTTTTCTGGATACCTGAAGAGAGGAAGGGATGATGCACTCCAGTCCCCCAGCCTCTACTGCACTCCCCAGGGCTGGCCTTTGATAGGGGCGGGCAAGCTGGACTTGCTCCATCTGCTGGCAGAGGGTCAGTCACCTCTGACAGACACAAACACCATCCCCAAAACACCAGCTGTCCTGGCAACAGAACTGCCAACCACACAGCTAGAAACGTGCGAGGAGCACTCCCAGACCTTCGTGGGCAGCGGTTACTTGGGGTGGCAGCACCCAGTCTATGAGGATGGTGCCTTCCGAAACAAGTGCACTCAGTGACCCTCGGTGCTTCCTCCATTGTGGGCAGGAATGAGGGATGCTGAAGTGGGCTTCGGTCACAGTTCAGGGCCCTGGGGGTCAAGCTGTGGTGCATATGCCCCTCAGAAAACAGTCTTAGTTCCCCAGAGTGGCCACCACCCTATCATTCTAATTCTGGGGTAAAGACAACGGATTTCCTTCGTGGAAATTCTGGAGTTGCCACTGAAGTTAGAGATCCTGCTGGCAGAGCCTGACCCATAAATTAAGCTCTCTGCTCCAATTACACATAAAAATAAATTTATCTCTAGTTAGGTCACTTATTTTCACGTAGATGAATTTAAGGAAAACAGTGCAGCACCATGGAAAATGGATTATAGATCCAGACTAGAATAGAGGGGGCCCATTTCTTTATGAGACAAACACTGAGTAGCTACCACTTTAGAGGGTAACAGGCTGTGCCCTGGGGCCACAGAGATGGCTCTTGAAGGCACTCCTGCTAGTGGGGCATCGAAAGTCAACAACTCCACTGAGCAACATGGTGAGCGTCCACGAGGTGCCCACAGTGGGCTCTAAGAGAGCACCTTGGGTTAATTACTTATTAATTCACAATCCACTGTTGAAAAACTATTGTGTCCAAAGGCAGCCAGCCTCCCAAGCATCAGTGAGATGCGCTGGCCAGGAGCTAATCCCTAAAAGAGAAGGTTCCCCGCCCCCACCCACACATATCCTTTCTCAGAGACAATTAATTTGATCCAAGACTTAATCAAAGCTACAAGCAGGGATGCGGTGGGTTCATGCACTGGCTTTTCAAGCTGTCACTATGCGTCTCTCGAGAGAACCCGAGGCTTTTCAAACCATCTGCTTTAAATCCTCTCCCCACAGATGTCCAGTCTGGGCACCAACACCTTAGAGGGGTTACTGCCAAGCGCTGTGCGCAGTCATGTCACACATGTGAGGCTGGGCTCCGCGCTGTCTTCTCCACGCTCGGTCCACCCAGGGGGCCTTCTTGCGAATAGCAACAAATGTCCCCAAGTTGTGAAGCCCTTTTGTGGGCCCCTTACCCATCCACCACACAACACTTCCCCTTGGCACTGATCTGATTCCACAAGTCGCCTGATTTTACTTTTTAAATGCGTACAAACATGCCTGCCTCCCCAGGAGCACCCTGGCCACCCAGGCGGTGACAGGCAGGCTCCGCACCGAGTCCCTTTGCTACCGCTGAATGCACTGCCCAAGTGGGAAAACATGGCTCCACATCCTCCTGCACCGCAAATCCCTTAACCACCCACAGGTACAACTTGAAAGACCTCTGCAGCCGCAAACAAAGCAACCTGTTCTCAGCAAATCCAATTTTGGGTTTGACAAAGCCGGCTTCTTTAAAAGATCTCGACGTAGGCAGGAACACTAGAAAAAGCTGCGGGGGAAACCAGGCCGTCCCACCTGAGCATCCAGGAGTGTCCACCCAAGCTCGGGGCGGCCCCTCCGCAGGGCCCGGGACTCCGGGAGACGCCGGGCGCAGTTAGCAGCCGACGGGAGCTAACCCCACCCCCCCAGAAACGCCACGAAGTTGCGGCCGCCTTACCTGCAGAAGCGCAGATTCGGAAATCCGTTAGAGGGTCCCGAGAGCTCGAGTTCCAGCCGGAATCAGGCGGCAGGAGCGCGGGGGCCACGCGGGAACAGGTTGGAGGGGCGGGGACGCCGGTGGAGAAAGGCTAGGAGAGAAGCGCGCAGCTGGGGGTGGAGAAGCTGGAGGCAGGGGGGGGGGGTTGGGGTGGCGTCGACCGGGAGGTGGGGAGCCAGGGCTCCGGGCGGGGGCGGCAGGGTTTGGAGGGCGGGGGGCGGGTCGGAGGGCAGGGGCTCGGGTGGGGGCTTGGGGAAAGGGCACCAGTAGGGGGTGGGGGCTTGGCGAGGACGCGGGGGAGCGAAGGGAGCTCGGAGGCGAGGTTCCGACTCAGGGATGGAAAGCTGGCCCCTGGCCCCTCACCCCTCTGCTACCCGAGCCGCTGCCCCCTCGTCCTGGCCTCGGCGCGTACGGAGGACCCCTAGTCCCCCAATCCGGGCGCAGGGCCGCCCGCCCGCGCCGCCACTAGCCAACCCCCGCTGGCGCCGCGCTCACCGCCCATAGTCCCGGCCCGGACCCGGCTCCGCCGCCGCGCTCCCGGTTCGGCGCCCGCTGCCTGCTCCGCCCGCCGCGGGGGAGGCGAAGGCGCAGGCGGCGCGCACCGACCGCGGGACAGCGCGGCCTCCCGCAGCGCCCCCTGCTGACCCCGCCGCGCGCTGGGCTCGGCCCGCCCCGCGCCGCGCGCCCTGAGCTCCGCCCCGGAGGCGGTGAAGCCGCGCGGCCCGGCCGGGGAGACCCGCACCGAAAGGGGCTTCGGAGAGGACCCTACTGGGGAGGCCGAACACGCCCCTGGAAACCCGCCAGTCTGCGGAGCTCCCCGCGCAAAGGCCGCGGTCACAGAGGTCCTGCGCGTGTGGTGGCCGCGGCTGCGAGCGCAGAGCCGCCGCGCTCCTCCCGCGCCGGACCTGGGGTCGGGACCGCGGGTTCGCGCGCCTCGCGGGGTACGCCGCCCGGGCCCGAGCCGACGGCGCCAGCGCGGGTGCTTTCGGGAGGTAAGACTGGCCCGGCGCCCTGACCCCGGTGCCCGGCCCGGCCGACGTGTGCGAGGCCCGCCACTGCTGGATGGGCTGCTGCCGCGTGGACCCAAACTGACATGACTCTTGCCACCATGCCCCCCGCCCCCTCCGGCCTCCCCACGCCTCTCTTCCGGCGCGGGCCACATCCGGCCGTGCGTGTCAACCCCAGACCTGCCGCCGCTGGGGCTGGGGCTGGCCTGCAAGCGCCCTGGGAGGTCTTGGCCGCGCACTCTTGGTCACCAACCCCCTCCTCCTACCCCTCCCACCCGGCCTTGCGGAGAGCTCGGAGAGCTCCGTTTCGGAGAGCACTTGGCTGAATTCTCTCCCGCCTGTTGGCTACTCCGAGACGGGTGCCATTCTACTTGATTTGATATGGCACTTGTGGATTATTTCTTTAAAATGTTGGTGGGGACCCCCTACATAATTTTTGAGTGGGAGATGATCTGACCGCGGTGACTGCTAAAGAGGCCTTTAAGGTAATTGGTGACCCCTATAGGCGCTGGCACAACCGGCCACCAGGACGATATACTCTGATAAGTATTTCCTTCCTTTCCTTCCGTGCACTCTTTCTGACTTCCTCAGCCACCCCTTCCTTCACGCCTCCACTTGATGGCTCCCAAATCCACACACCACACCCAGAGACTTTTACCCATATTTCTACCTTCTCTCTGGCTTTCTGCTTCGAACTTTTCAAACCAGCACTCCCCATACCAAACGTTCTTTCTTCCCAGTAAACAACCCAATCTACCAGGTTCACCTCTCCCCAGCCAGCCACCTGGTATTGTTACAAGGCAGGGAGAAGGGCAGAGCCCCAAACCTGCCTGCTTTAAAATAGTTTCCGCCATCCACCACATCAAGACAAAACATAGATACGTTTAATGGCAAGGACCTTTAATACAATTGGTGTGTAATACAGAAAAGACAAAGAATATAGTTTCCAAAACAAGAACCCAAAGTTACCCATCCCCTTGTGGGTAAAAGTCCACCCAAACAGAGTTGGCCCAAATCAAGGCCGGAAAGCCTGCCCCAAGTCTAAAGCACCTTTCAGAAGCGACCCATAGAAAAGGGTCACCCATCAAAACACTCCTAGGGATCTACCCAAAGGACACAAAAACATTGATTCAAAAGACCACCTGTACCCCTATGTTTATTGCAGCACTATTTACAATAGGTAAAACCTGGAAACAACCCAAATACCCAAAAATAGACGACTGGATCAAGATGTGGTATATATATACAATGGAATGTTATTCAGCAATCAAAAAAGATAAACTCATGCCATTCGCAGCAATGTGGATGGAACTAGAAGGAATTATGCTCAGTGAAATAAGCTAGAAGGAAAAAGAAAAATACCAGTTTCACTTATTGCAGGAATGTAGGGGAACCAAATTAGACATCAGTGTAAAAAAATAACAGTACAAAATACAACAAAGCAAAAACGGACAATTATAAATCAGAGACATCCTGCAGGGAGGCAGAGGGAGAGGGATCAGAGGGGGGGGAGGGAGGAGCACAGGGGACTGAGGTGATGGTGCTCGGGTGCCTTGGTGAAGGAAACTCTGTGGGGACTACACCTGAAGGGGTGGGGGAAAGCAAATATTGTTAAAAAATGAATAATGATGTAAAAATAATAAAGATTAATAAAATAAAGAAAATAAAGGGTCAGAAACAGCCAGACAAGTTTGTGAGAAAAAGAGCAAAGTTAAAAGCAAGATAAAAGCTGCCATTGGTAACCTCCCACAGGGTCTCTCGCCCACGTCTGTTTCAACCAGTCCAGGACCAAAAAGCAAGTGCAGTTTTTTTACATGTCTCTGCTCCACGTGCCTCCTTCAGGTTTCCTCCTGGCTCCCCATCCTGCTTCCTTCCTTCTCCAGTCTCCTCTCCAGCTTCTTCTCCTTCCTGTTCAGCTCCACCCTCCTTTGGGTGGGGCAGGGAACCTGGAACCTCACCTTTTTCCTGGGCACCTCCCTTTTACAATATGAGGGCTCACTGGAGGGTTCAATGTCCAGTCAGTGTTTGCTTCCAGACCTGAAGGATCTGCCCTCCCCACTCACTCATACCTGTGATGTGCTTGCGTCCACAGTGTCTCCTCCCTTGATTACTGACACAACCCTTCCCAGTCCTTGAACCTTTTGTCTCCCTGTGCAAAATCTTGTCACTGTCCTGGTTAGTTTCCTCCCAGACTCTTCCATCTTCCTCTGAAGGACCTTACAGTTGCCCCAAAGCTGCTCCTCCTCACTGCCCTCCTTAGGAGTCCCCTGCACAGAGGCTCCTTCTTCCTCACATAGATGAGGACATGCCGTAAATGACAGACAGCCCAATCCACACTTGCTTAAAAAAGAGTATCGACTTTGTGTGAATGGAACCCAGGCCATGTCTGCTTCAGGCCTGGATTTAATTACCGGGACCAAAGAGTTCAGGGACTCTCCGTTTCTCAACTTTGCTGCTTTCTATGTGAGCCATACTCTCCCACCACACACGAGACCCCAGCTGATCCAGGCTCACAATATAGCAGCAGAGCAGTTTCTCATTGCCAACCCACTCTACCAAGCCTTGGGCTGACCCTTTTGGCAGGCCTGGATCCCCGTCCATCCTGTCCTCCTAGCCACTGTGTCCCCATGGGAGTGGGGTTCCTCTCTCTAACCTCATCCACACAGGGAACATGCAGGTGCTCCTAGATCCCTTCTCTGTCATGGGGGGTCTCAAAGTAGTTCAGGGGCACCATCTCTCCTTTCCCCATACCAAACATCATACTGTCACCTCATTTTGCTGCAGTGCTCCTGTGTGGCACAAGCCATCTTGTAGGGCAAAGTTCCAAACAAAAAGTGGGGCTTGGGCCGCTCTGCTTTCATCTTCCTCCTGAAACTTCCTGGGATTTCTCCAGGAAATTTGAACGATACCCTTCCCTGCGTCAAGGAGGCTGCCTCATGCCCCTCGGAAAACCAGGCATCATACTTTCCCTAGACTCATCCTCTCCAGCCTCTTTCCTCACATCCCAGTTCCCTGAGGACTCCCATCCCCTTTCTATTCTGGAGCGGGTGTCCCCTTTTTCTTCCCAGTGGACTTTGGGTTCACTGGTACCTTACCCACCCTTCTCTGCCCCAAGGCCAATAACAACTCATGGCTGAACCATAAGGGGGGATAGGACTTCAAGGAAAGAAAAAGAAAAGGTTCCTGTGGGAAAATATGTATGTGGCAGCATCTCAAGACTCTTACTCCATTGAATCTCTCCTGTCATTGTTGTAGATGAGGGATGTTGGCTTGAAGCAGCTGGTGGCCACTGCCCAGCACCTGGGGAGACAGCGCCAGAGATCGTAGCTGACACAGAGGAAAACGGAGTCAAGAGATAAGCAGCTTTTTGTTGTGCCTGAAACAAGGACCTGAATTTTTCACATACATGTCCAATAAATCCCCTCCCTTTCCCCCAGCAAGTTAGAATTGGTTTTTCTGTCACTTGCAGCCAAGAGAGTCCTAAATAGTAGAAAACCATGGCACAGCAGCTCCTGCAAAATAGTAACTGTCATGATCACTATTCATCTGCAAGAGCAGCAAGGGTGCCCATGGATGACAGTAAAACAGAGCAGAAAGGAAAGCCGCGCCATTTACTGATCACCTTTGTCTCCTTCTGTTCCCAACCTGCTCCTTTGTCCTTTCTGCACACACATCTCGGCCCCCAGGGAAACTCTCAAAAGTCATTGAATGCTGAACCCACTCATAAAAAAATAGACCTGGGCTCTCGCACAAGTCATGAATATTCTGCTAGGCACTATTCCAGTATTCCCTTCCATTTTATGCACACAATCCCTGTCTAGACTGAGACAGCCAGGAGCAGGTGCCTATCCTCAGTTCAATTTCAATCTGTAAGCAAAAATTGAGCAAATATTTGTACAACCTCCTTGGCCTGCACTGTAGACTTAGAGAAACATGGGCTTCTGTCCCCACCCATAAAGGGGCTTTACTGTGGGGAAAGACAATTAGCCTAGGATAGAGACTGGTATAACAGAGGACAGGGAGTCCTGTGCGGGGGGACAAGTGGTTTATTTGCACCAGGTTCTAGTTTCCTAAGAATGCCTGC